GCCTAGACCCACACATCCCTAATATATATATATATATATATATATATATATATATATATATTATTCACGTCCTTGTTACACTTAATGTTTACACTAAGTGCAAATAGCTATAGATTCTATTTACACCTAGCATGATTTTCTGCTACTTATTGCAGATAGTGGCAATTGTCTGCACCTCAGTATTGTAGTACATTATAAAAGAGTATGGAATAATAACAATAACAACGACGTGATATCTGATTTGAAAAAGTAGAAAAAAAAGATCGGCAAAATGCGGATTCGAACCCTGGTCGATCGCGTCAAAAACGACTTCCACACGTAGTTTAACATCTGCGCCACTGGAGCTGTTATTAGATGATAGTATTTTGTAATGCTTTGTAATCACATGTTGATGGGCGGAGTTATTATAAATAGCCTCTGCCAACAAGGCGGCTATTTGCACTTGTATATAGACACTCCGTTTTTTGATTTGTGAACTGATGTTCAGCTGTTCTTTTTAATAGTCAACATATTTTCGGGTCATCGTCATAAAAGCCCTGTAAACTTTGTCACAGGCACGAAGATACATCTTTCATTTCATCAAGCTGAATGCACACTAAAACTGACACAGTCATCATGTTTTCAAGTCATTTCAATTTCATTTTGATGTGGCACAAAGCAGTGATATCTAAGCAGGAGAGTTGTTTACGCTCAGCATTACTTCATGTGTATCTTTCAGAGCTGAGTGATTATCAGTGTTTTATCAGGACACACTGACTCTCATCAGCGTTTGCTTGAGCGGCACAACACTTCAAACACTGACGCAGATAACACCGCGCAAACAATCAAACCATAAACCAGCTTATCTGTTAAAACCTGTATGATGTCAACTGTAAAATCTAGGCATTTTAGAAAATATTTTATTACAGATCATCTGTATTTTATTTTGAGTAATGAAAAGGTTTGTAATGGTTTTAGTTGATGATAATATCCATGTCCACCTCGATGACCTTTGACCCTTACCTTTAATTCTTCATAGTGACGTGCTTTATTTATCTATCTATTATTTATTTATCTGCTAGTGCTGTATTATTAATAGACACAAAAGATTGCGAACCTGTTGTTTCAGTATCATTAGGGATTCATAAGGGCTTAGGGAGAAAAGAGAAAAAGATTGTGAATTATTTAGAAATAAACTATAAACTATAATAATAAAACATTATTATTTAGAATGTTTTTATTTTAATTTTGTTCTGTTTTTGTCAGTCCTTTATATTTATTTTTATAAATGTGTGTGTGTGTGTGTATATATATACATATATACTGTGTATATATATATATATATATAACACTACTATTATTTACATAAAATATTATTTATTGAATAATAATATTTAATAAACAACAACAACAGCCATCATAAAAGTTGCTAGGTAATTCAGTCAAAGGTACAAAGGCAGCACTCTGAAATACAGCATTAATTTGACATAAAATTATAACATGATGAGATTTTGCCCTCAGCCAAAACTGCTCTTATTTGCTCTGGAACAAATAATAGATTAATGACACCAAAGACTGCCCATCAGATTTACCTAAAACAAATTATTTCTGAAATTGAACCACTATAGAGACATCAGAGCCAGCGGCAAATTCTAGAAGATCTGGCCGAGGTGAGGCTGCTCTCGGCGGGTTCATGAGAGCTGAGCCCTGGAGCTCACGTCTCCGAAAACGTCGAAGCAAATTTTCAAATAGACGTTGTCTTTATTAACAAACCGTATATTTGAAGTCTTAACAAGTACATTCTCGCCTAAAAAACTCTTAAAACTACATTCAGTGACACAAAAACAGTATTATTTTTAAATCAGGATTTGGGTGACACTCGCTGAGAAATACGGGAAGCGGAGTGATACAAACGGTGAAAGGGCGTTCCTGTGGCGATACCAGTACAATATCTCACCATTCTCAACCAATCAGATTTGAGAACCAGAACGAACTGTTGTATAATATATATATATATATATATACAGTGGGTACTATATATTATGTTCTGTGGTATAATACGCTTGCCTGTATACATGGCTCAGTGTTGCATCATAGCTCTATCATTTATTTTATTTGTACCTAATTTTCAGCGGATGGTGATGCGTAATGTCTTGACCCTTTAATTCTCGGTGTGTTCATGAGCGCTGAATGGCCGCTGACGCCCTGGAGCTCACATCTCTTTATTATCAAACCACATATTTGAAGTCTACACAAGTACATTCTTGCATAAAAACTCTTAAAACTACATTCAGTGACACAAAAACAGTATTATTTTTAAATCAGGATTTGGGTGACACTCGCTGAGAAATACGGGAAGCGGAGTGATACAAACGGTGAAAGGGCGTTCCTGTGGCGATACCAGTACAATATCTCACGGTTCTCAACCAACGAGCTGTTTTATAATATATATATATATATATATATATATATATACACACACACACACATACATATGCATTTATTTAATCAAAAATACAGTAAAAAATAGTAAATCTGTGATCGAAACTCTGGTCGATGACATTTAAGCACAACCTTTGACGATTAATACATGCTAAAATGGTTTATATTAATGTTCAGGACTGTTTGATGTTGATTTTATACTTGCCGACGGTGAAGTTCTCCATGTTTGTCAGCTGTATGTGAATACATTAGCATGAGCTGTGTTAATTTGTGTGAATTTGTGTTTCTGCAGCGCAGCACTCTGTAGATGATCTCGGGCAGCTGTCCTGGCAGAGCGACCTGGACGTTCCTCTGTCCTACAGTATGTATCGTGCTTCAACACCACACACACTCCTCCTGCTAACAGGTGACCCTTGCGCTCTTCAAAACTGCTGTTTAGATGTTCTAGAGTCTGTTGGAAGTGAATATTAAGGAATGAATGAATATTAAGGAAATTACAAATACTTAAACCAAAACGTCATCTGATTTCAAGGACTATTTATTTATTTATCTTAAAATAATGTAAATAAAATGTTAAATAGTTTTATTTATAATTTTGCATTTTGTATTTAATTTCTTTAACTTGAATCTTTAAAATTTACAATTTAAATCTTTAAATTTAATTTAATTAAAAAAATCCCCAAACTTTTAAATTTTTAGTACAATATTTAAGCATTTCTTTCTAGTATTTAGATCCTATTATTTTCATGTTTTTGTGGTTTTAGTTACTTGCCATATTGTATTTAAGTATGTTGCTTGTTTCAAAGTGTTCATTTTTGCAGAAGACATGCTGAGATGTACTTTCTTAGATATACAGTATGTGACATATGCAGTGTTTTATAGTTTGATTGTAATCGCGGTGCTTGCAGGGTAAATGGAGTTTTCATGTTTGGAAAGCAGCGGTTCTGCTTTAATGTGCTCCCTTGTGCTTCATATAAATTAACTTTTTGATTAATTTCACCTCCTGCAGCAGCAGAAGTAAGTTTGATGTTGCTTCATTTCTCTGCGTTTTTCCCAGTACAGTATCTCTGGGTTATTAATGACTGCTGTTGCGGGTTTCTCCTCGCTGTTACCATGGTGATCCTTTTAAGCACTGTAGCATATAATTCAACAACAGCGTTGGACTCTGAACCAGCAAAAATCCCTCTTTGTTCAAACCCTGGGATTATTCCTCTGACCTGCGCTAATTAGAGCTTTAATTTAATCAAATCTTTAACAAACATTATTAGTGCTGTTTGCAGAAGCTATCGCTCATACTTACAGTTAGTGACTGTAACAAACCCATAAGCTTTTAGAGTTTGTGCTATGAACTGTTGTTGAGGAAAGTTGTGCTGCTACTTTTCTAAGTGATCAGACTTTTTGCCTGATGGATCAGACTTTTTGCCTGATGGACAATAAACGATGTTGAACAGCCTCATAGACTTTGCACTGGCAAACACCACTGTTTTAGTTTTTATTAATATTTTTAATTCATTTTTATTTTTATATTTTTTTCCTAAATGTCTATATAGTTTTTTATAATATTCAGAATTATTTTTTATTTTAATATTTTCTGTTTTCATTGTAATTTTAGTTACAAATTTGTATTTTTTTTTTAATATTTATTTTATAAATATTTTGAATTTTTGTTTTAATAATTTTGTAATTTTGTTGTTTTTGTCATTTTCTTAGTTTTTTAATGTGTCCATAATTGTATTAATATTTAAATTAGTTTTATGTTCATATTTCTGTTTTTATTTTAATTTAGTTTTAGTAATTTTGTTGTATTTTATATCTTTTTAAATATGTATACGATTTTTATTAATATTTTGAATTTGTATTTTCTATTTCATTTTTATTTTTTATTTTAGTCATTTTGTTGTTTTTTCTTTGTTATAAGTTTTTGTTTTTTAAAACGTCTTTATAGTTTTCTTGAATTCGTTTTTTTTTTCTGTTTTTGCTTCAGTTTTAGTTATTTTGTTGTGTGTTTTTGATATTTGATAGTATTGATATTTTAAGTTAGACGTATTTGTATATTTTCTCTTTTCTTTTTAATTTTGGAGTTGTTTTAATTTTGTTGTGTGTTTTTGTCATTTTATTAATGTTTGTTTAATATTAGTTTTTATTAATAATTTTGTTTCTTTGTTATTTGTTCAGTTTCTGTTGTTTTTTTTTGTGTCCATGTCTATACAGTTTTTATTCAGTTTTAGTTATTAAATGAAAGTAAATGAAAGTGAGAACTGATGTGTTGGCAATTGTTTTGGTGATTTCAGATGTCAACATTGGCTACCAGAAATCGCTTACCCCACCTATAATTCAAAATTTTATAGCATTATACAAAATGTAGTTTCGTGTGAGAAAGGTTTTATATTGTTCTAGTTTAAGTTAACTATGATAACCCTGGCATACTCATATTCATGCATGCGCTGCAGGTCGAGCGAGTCCCACTGGTCCAATCAGAGCTAATAAACAGTTTTACAGCTCTTGTGTTGTATTATAACGTCTCTGGTAGATGCATTACGGCCGTCCTTGAGGACTCTGAGCATAATCGACCCTGCGAGCAGGAAGGTAATATCTCTGGCAGTTTTTCAGCTCAGATGTTATCAGCAGCTGTTTTGACGTGCAGACAGACTGCGGCGTTCAGAGATCAGTGCCAAGCAGCGGTCAGATCCACTCAGACGTCAGTCATCAGGAGCGGCAGACTGACTGACAGGCTCTGTAAAGTCGTGTAACCTTGCCTAGCTGCGTAACGCCACTCACATCAATCATCTCTAGTGAAGCAGACTCTCCATGTTTTGAACGCCGTAACAATTTACACATCAAACACATAATGTGAAACTCCTCAAATGGCCTTAAGCGCTCTTTCATTTCATTGCTGCCTAGAAGAAATAACCTAAACACTGAAGTCTTCTAATGCGCTCAATTCTTAACCCTGAACACTTTAATGAAATTGTACACCTGAATGTTCAACTCTTCTGAAGTCCTACACATGTCTAATACCAGATTTACTCTTTTTAGTGGCTGAATGTCAGACTACCAAACACTTAAAACACTTTACCTCAGACATCTGGAGTGTTATTAACACACTTAAAAAACTTAGCACATCTAAACACTTGACAATAAAGTCTGATGTTAGACTTCTATTCTTTAGAGATAAGAATGAGTGGTTTTAAAACAAGTTTAGTTTTTTTTACATTTTTTTTCAAAAGATTCTTTTCTGCTCACCGAGGCTGCATTTATTTGATCAAAAATACAGTAAAAACAGTGAAATTGTGAAATATTATTACCATTTAAAATAACTATTTTTTGTGTGTGTGTGTGAATATATTGTAAAATGTCATTTATTCCTGTGATCAAAGCTGAATTTTCAGCATCATTACTCCAGTCTTCAGTGTCACATGATTCTTCAGAAATCATTCTAATATGCTGATGTGAAACATATCCGGATATCATTTCCCTTCAGTTCTAGAGTCATTAGTCACATAACATTTACCGCTCCAGTGATTGGATCTTGTGAAGGAATCCTGCACCAGATGATCAGCTGATATTGAGATGATTGGAAATGGTTTGCCATTGTGTCCAGTATAGTTTTGAACGGCTCCATCCTTCACAAACAGCCTTTCTGGATCCTAAAAACAATCTAAATTTGATGTTGTCGAGGTGTAGATGTTTGCATTTATCCCAAAATTATATCAGACCATGAGAGCTGGTGCTACTGTTATTGACTGATAGTGATTAGGGCTGGGTTTGAACACTAATTTCTCAATTTGATTGAATTTTGAATTACAAGCTTGCGTTGCAGTTGGATATATATCAGCCACAGTACATTGTAATGTCTATAGTTTTGTTTAATATTTTGAATTCCTTTTTATTTTTATATTTAGTTTTTATATTTTTAAGTTTGTCATTTTTAAATTTTAGAAATTATATGCGTTTTTGTCATTTTTGTTTTTTTATTTGTTTTTAATTTTAATTTGTTTTGTTTTTATTAATATTTTGAAATAGTTTTGTTTTTTTATTTTAATTATAGTTCAAGTTTTAGTCATTTTTACATCTTTTAATTTAATTTTTAATCAATATTTTGAATTTGTTTTAAATTTTAGTTATTGTTTTTTTTTTTTATTGTCATTTTTATCAGTTTTTTTTAAATGTCTATATAGTTTTTAGTAATATTTTAATTACCGTATTGACCCGAATATAAGACGATGTTTTTTAAAATTAAAATAGGAAAAATATGCAATATGAAAATAATTGAAACAAAAATGTGTTTTACTGAGAAAAAACAAGATTTGGTTTTTAAAAAGCCTTTTTCCAAAAGGTACATCTGGAAAAAGGGGGGTCGTCTTATAAACAGGGTCGTCTTACTGTATATTTGGGCCAATACGGTAGTTTTTATTTTTAGATTTTCTGTTTTAAATTTTAGTTTCAGTTTTAGTAATTTTGTTGTGTGTTTTTGTCATTTTAGCAGGACATTTTTTTTTATATATATATTTCAAGCTCTTTAAGGAGTCAGAATTGCCTTCATCCCAAAATAATGTCAGGCCACGAAAAGGCTTTTTTTTTATCGACTGATATTCATAAAGGGCTGGGCATTTTCAAAAATTTTATTTTATTTTGATTCACAAGCTTGTAATTTGATTAGATTCAATATTGTTTCTTTTGCACACACACACACACACACACACATACATATATATATATATATATATATATAAATTGAAACAATGGTGGTCATAACATTTTCATGACAGATTTATCCAAACATATTAAATATCGAAGAACAAGTTAAGGAAAAATATAATAAATATGTAATATTGTGCATAATTTAGCGAGTTTGCATCGGACTTTGAATGGCTTTCCTGAGGTAAATGCAATGTTACGTAACATTGCTTACGAGCCGTTTTATTGACATCTTTCTGTGCTTGAAACGCTGATTGAATTTCATTTATAAAAGATCACAAGATCTTGGGATTTAAGAATCGTTATCAGTTCATCAAAATGGTAATCTGTTGAAATAGAGAAATCCACAAGCCCTTTAATATTGATACACCAGCAGTAGTTCAGCAGTAGACACTGTAGGACTGTGAGACTCCAGGTGACCACAGAGATGCCTGCACCTGTCTTTCTCCTCACCGTCATGCTGATTTACGGTGTGGACGGGGCAGACGGCGGGTCGCTGGAGATTTATGTGACAGGGTTGCCGGGGAGACGTCAGGCGGTAATGACCTGGGCCAATCCGAGTCATCCGTCTAAATGACACAGCGGAGAGATCAAGAGGCTCTCCGTCTGTTTATCACGTCTGCAGCCGCAGAGCTCGTGTGTGGTCTTTCTGATGGCTGTGGT